TGTCTGAAATGACTGCCAGATTGTTCAACCAACATCATATCATGGTAGCCCACAAGCCAACCGCCACTCTAAGGAAAACATTGTCAAAACCAACAGGAAAGCGAGAGGCACTAGAACGACAGAATGTCATATATAGAATAAACTGCGTAAACTGTGAAAAGCACTATGTGGGACAAACAGGAAGGAAGCTGTCCACTAGGATACATGAACACCAAAGAGCGTGCAAGAACCATTACGCAACCTCATTGGTTTCAGCACATGTGGATGAAGAGGGACACAGCTTCGACTGGAACAAAGTAGAGATTTTGACCGAAGGAGAAACACAAAAAGGGAGGGAGTTTCTCGAAGCCTGGTTCTCAACCACGAACTCAATCAACATGCATATCGACCTCGATCCAATATATCAACCGCTGAGACAGAGAGAGTTCAAGAGGATCAAAAACCGTTGTCCGAAAGAACCTAATCCAACACACGGACAATGAACAGCATGGTCAATATGAGCCCAGACTACTCACCCACACCCGTTGCACCAATCCGGGTGCGATATTCCCAACCACGTCGCAACAACATTTCCGCAGCCAATGACAATGACTCGAGCACAATGGCTGAACACAAGGATTCACCAATGAGAACGAGGCAAAATTAATTGCCTCGTATGCCTATATAAGGAACGGAGTGGCTGCTGACAGCATCCATTATTGGGTTTACTTTCTACCAGCTACTGCTACTTTACTGCTATCAATCCCGCACTGAAGATGTCACCTCGAATGGTGGCGAAACGTTTGCAACCAAGTTGCCCAGCTCGGAGAACTCCACAACAACTGAGCAAACCTCCCGAGCTACCATTATTCCAAATCATTTCGAGATTAAACATTACCGACTACAAAATTGAAAAGTGTTATAATGCTAAAATCACTTAATGCGTTGGCTTCGAGATCAATGTTGAAGGGGGAAGCTAAAGGGGAGGGGAGGGACAAAGAAACTCACAGCACAAACACCATTGAAATCGGCTCCTCGCTAGGTCAGCTAGCTTATCCAACCGTACGTGTTCATCGTCCTTCAGACCCCCAACCCGGAAGTCGGGAAACACCAACCGACACCAACTTCAAAGTGAGGGACTGTATTCTTCTAGACCAAGTCATCGCTTAGCCACCCCTCTTCTTTCATTTAGACACCGGGTTGCAAACAACGCGCGATCCGAGAGTCACTGTGCTGGCATGCGCAACACATGCCCTGGCCATCGGAGCCTGGTGTGTGATATAGTGGTCCTTAGCGGTTCACTCGCTCTTCCTGCACCAAGTACACGACACCGAATGCGCTCATTGTTCACGCGGTGTTCCCATCAGTTATGCGCTAAGCTGCAAAGGCAGCAATGGTCGAACGTAACAAACCTATATCTATCAACTTGATGGGCTAGGTTGCTCTACCTTACAGGAGGGCTGAACGGACGGCTCCGTTATAAACTCTACCCTTCAGGGCGAGAGTCATGTCGCATCTGCGCCAAAGGTGGCGCAGCTTGAGAAAACCGCCTCAACCTTTCGCTACACGGTTCGTGATCTCTTCGATCCCACGGGCACTAAGGTAGCTGCCCAGATACTTAAATTTCTGGACGACTTCTAGCTGGTCACTGCCAAGGGTCAGCGCAGCAATGGATCCCTGCCAATTTTGGAGAATGACTTTGTATTTCGACAGTGCAAAGCATAGCCAGAAACGACTGACAGCCAGAGCTAATTTCTCCAGGGCAACTTGACACATATAGGGAGCTGTCACATACCAGCGCAATCTCGTCAACATACCCCAAGTCAAGAACTCGTTCACCAGGGGGCACCACTGCTTTCAGGTCGTGTCCAGTGATCACAGTGTCCATGACTTCGTCAATGGAGAAGTTAGAAAGGAAAGATGACATCGAGCAACCTTGTTTCACACCACTGGAGATAATGAAGAGCGGTGAAAGTTTGTCGTATGCCCTCACTCTACACGAGCTATGCGCGGGAAGCGCTCTGATAATCATGTACTTTTCAGGCACGCCTTTCCTGAGTAGACAATCCCAAGGGGTACATGGATCAACCAAATCGGAGGCCCCTTTGGTGTTGAGCAACAGCAATAAACATAGCAGTGCTCTAACAATTGAGGTAATGTGAAAATGTAGTCAATACATCCTCGATTTCGACAAAACGGCCTGCTCCTCGCACATCAGGGTTTCACAGGTGCGAATCAGTCTATGAAGGGCGACAGAGGCAAGTAACTTAGTGGCAACTGAGATCAGACTGCTTCCTTTATGACTGTCGTATTCGGAACAGAGCGGCTCCAGTCTGTTGGGAAAGATTCATGCTCCCACAGATTCACAAGTAACTTAAGTAAATTGTCTAAGAGAGTAAGTTCTCCGAATTTGAAGAGGACTGGATGAAGTCCATCTGCTTCAACGGCCTTGTTCAATTTCAACTGTCTGGTCTCCTATTCGATTTCTGCGCGTGAGGGCGAATCCAGAGTGACGGTCATGGGAGTAGGGCGATCATTGGTTGTTAGAGAAGCTGGCAACAGGCTGATTTAACTGCTTCTCAAAATGTTCGGCCCAACTCTCTATGCGCTTTGACAAGTTGTGGGTCGGCTGTACACACGTCGCGTATGGTCTCGCTAGCACCAGGTCCCCTGCTGACCGTTTCTTGTATCAGACAAACTAACTTCCTACGGTTCCCATGGGCAGCAGCTGTCTCCATCTCAGAAGCACATTGAGACCCCCAGGCTTCACCGTCTTTCTTAAGACTAGTACGCAGTTTCGCCCGGAGATCTTTGCGCGTCTCGTTGTATTCGCTTCCAGTCGGAACACATGACGTGCATTCGGAAGTTCCAGACTGCATAGAGACCCGATGTCCAGATTGGTGGTTTGATTTGTCACATGAGGACATGCCTGCTGCTAAAGACATGTGGGGGGTTTGCGACCATTGATCTACAACTGTGTTCAGTAAGAGCTTACTCAGCTCGGATGCCAGCGTACTTTGGTACGCATTCCGTACATTCGACTTCGACCGTTGGCAAGTATCTGTGCGCTCACAGCACTGTTGCGGACGTCCGCCGTAACGCACCCTAAGGTCGGCGCAAACAAGTACGTGGTCATAGTCCACGCTCGTGCTCCAAACCGAGCGACACTTTTAAACGCATTCTCTCCCGCGGTAACTGATCACGATGTGATCGATTTGTGTCCATAGATGATCCGAGGCTGGTGAACGCCATGCCACTCTTCCGTGGATGTTGTGTCGGAAGTTAGTGCTCGCGAGAAAGAAACGAACCTCTTCACACCTGTGTAGTAACCGCTGACCGTTATTTTTACGGGAGCTTACATGATGTTGTCTGCCAAGATGAAGCTCATCAGAGGACAATTTCCCGACTTGGGCGTTCAGATCACCAGCAAGCACCAAAGTAGCCTTATTTGTCCTTTGACGAAGGAGATCCTTAAGTTGGTGATAGTATTCATCTTTTGCCGAGTCAGCACTACAGTTCGTGGGGCGCGACGGCCGCAACGATAGACCAGCACCATTGGTCCCCAAGCAACTTCGATGCTCCGAAAAAGCCTACCAACCTGCCAGCGCACTTCTATCGTTTGTCTGGACTCCAATCGATCGGGGCCGATTCAGGCCGAGGACTCAAAGCAATGCCTACATCGGCTTGACCAGCATTTGAAACTGCGTCATTTCCGGACAAGCACGATGAAAAATTCCGCTAGTGTCGCACCTTGGGGATCGCAGGGTAGTTACAGTACTCGAGTTCTGCAGACGATTTTCTGATAAGCAGCAGACATCGATTGATAAAGCCTCCAGTGTTCGGGCAAGTGCTGCCTGTTGGCCAGTCTGCAACCAAGTGCTGACATTAAAACAAACCAGTTTTAGAGAGGATCCAGGGATCCAAATAGAAGCATATGAATTGACGCTGTCTGTTGGGCTGGGCATGGACTAGTCGACTGGACCGGAGCGGCGCTTTGCGTTTACCTGTGAGTCGAAGCAAGAAGATAAACGTTTACTGAACCAAGATGCGGGTGAGCCAAGGATTAGGGGGCATTGGGACAAGGGAATGAAGGTGAACTTGAAACAAGACGACTAGAATGAAAAAGCCTAAGAGCGTGGATAAATAATCGAGAAAACTTGAGCAGCGGCATCCAAATCCCACTATTCACCCTGCTCGAGGCAGTTGATAGGCTGCCGTTGGTTTTTCTCTGCAACGGCCTGAGCATCAACTAGTTGTTTAAAGAGGAAGTCAGTGTACTCTATTGCGTAGGCAGGTTGTCCAGGCCTAGACATGAAAACGATAAGGGTTCTCAACCAAAGCCTATAATTGAAAAACTTTACCGCAGCGCAGCTGTGTTTACGTACTGGGTTACACTGAGTCCAGTTTATGGAGTGAGCGGCCACCATCACTCAAACCCCTAACCCGAACGGCAACGAGACGGAGTTCGTCAAGCCATTGACCAATCTGGTATGGGTGGCTCTGAAGTTTCAAAAATGCATCACCCAGCATAGCTCAGTGGATCACTGAGGCACACAAACCATTGCACCATGTTAATGTCCAGTCTCGTCGCGTTAGTGTGCGTGAAAATGAGCGTCTAGCAGTTGCTTGCTGAAACTTGCCACACTTGTCGGCAATAGAAAATGAAACAAAACTGGTGGAATGTCTATTTTGCTCAACTACGGTCTCCGGCCTTTTGTGCGGAGGATGAGGCTCCCTTTGAGTGTTCGCTTTTCAATAACTGCCTCATGGCTAGATCCACACTACGTCTCAGAGCCTCCTCAAACTGGGTGTTTGTCCTCGGAACCACCATTCTACTCATTATGGTCTCGCTTTTGACAACTTGTGTTTTGACCTCCGTGATTCCGAATTTATTTGGAAACAGTAACGACACTATCACTCTGTGTTAAGTTCCAACTTCATCGCAGTCTTTTTCCTTTTCTAGTTCCTCGTTCATCACACATGTTCCTATTTTCCTCCTCCTTTTTGTCTTTTCTACGTAGGGTGGAACACAGCTAAAGGAACCTGGAGAAAAGTTGCTTATGGGCGAAACGAACGTTCGGGAAGATGCATTGTTTCGCTACCTCGAAAGGCTCGCTGTAACTCAATTCAAGTACAGCTGTTCAACTTCTCTAACCTTTATTAGAGGGGGTGATTATCGTTTATTTGACCACAATTGTAATACATTCAGCAACCACCTCGTGGGTTATCTTACTAGTAGACAGATACCATCCTACATTCTTGACTTGCCAGAGGAAATTGCCTCCACGCCTTTGGGTGCCGCTCTTAAACCCGCTCTCAACCTTCTTTCCGGTGGTCTTGACAACATTCCTCAATTTGGATTGCACCCTGCCTTCAGTAATGGTAATCCACCGTCTTTTCTGATCGCAAACTTCTTAGGCACGAACAATCATTCCTTCGACGGATTGAGGGCATCCTTCCGACCCATACTATTTGATGTCAGTTACTTGTTTCCCAGTATTCGTGTTGTTTATTTATAATTTAACGACACCGAAGATCCTCCATTTTCAGTCCCTTCACCTCTTTTACCAAAGGTTTACTTTCATTGATCTTGAAACGTTATATATCCCTGAGCATCCCGGGCCTTTCCGCCCTTATTGCCAGTGAAAAGTACTTAGCTGACATTGATAGCCATTGGACATCCACTGTTTTAGCCATCAGCCGACTACTTTATCCCTCCAATAGGACAACACCTATACACTGTACCCTTTGTTTTTATTCTAGTTGACTTGGGCAGTAGCAGCCTGCTCCACTATTTAAACCTGCAACATCTTTTCGCCTCCTCATTTCAGACGATTGATCCGGTGCCATTGGACTATCTTGCCGTTTTTATGCGTAGCTACTTCTTTATATTCAAAACCACAAATCCGGCTACAAATTATCCCAGCACGTGTACCGTTATGAACTACCTATTGCGCTCTGGCTTTTAATTGGTGTATTTTCTGTTGTTAACCTCGTTATGCACTCTTGGAGTCGCCTTACCAATGATTTTGCTATTTCTGCCAGTCCTTTTGCAACATCCAACTAATCCAGGCAGCTGGATTATTTTCAGCTTGACATTGCATCGTGCAGCTCTATTGGGAAGTTTGCAGACATTCGTTGTGCAGTGGCTCAAGCGCCTTATTTGCTAACTCTGCGCCTAGGCTTGGAGTTCCCACTTTCGTATGGTTTTAGGTAACGCGATAGTATACTGGTCCTCGTATAATCGCCCACAGTTGCACGACGTTAGGATGTATTGTTGGCGCATTCTTTTCCCAGACGTTCATCAAGTTTAGTAAAGTAATTCGTCTCTGGCAACATAAATTCATTCCATGCCTTTCCACACGCGCATCAGTAGTGTAGATTTGGACTGAAACCCCATCTTATGCGTTAGTACGAGCGCAGTGGTTATTTTCATTTTGTCTGTGTCTCGGATTTCGTTTACCGTTTTTTTCTTCGACAGATACCGCGCCCAGCTCTCTAACTTTTACGCTCGTTATACATCACCAGTTTTCAGTTGCCAGGATATTAATCGACTGTGAAGTTATCCATTTGTCGTTAAGATTCTACCTTATTTTGTGGTTTTCTATCCTCTTTTTATCTACCGGTGCTAGCTTTGATCAGCCAATTGTGTCTCTGTCTTAATACCATCGTTAGGCGCGTAGCCTAAAAGTAACGAGCTTGTAATCTAACGGCGCGGATTCGAACCTTCGTATGGGGCAGGGCAACCCTTGCAGTATCCTTAGCCCACGTGGGACTGGTGGTGGTTACGGGGCAGCGAAGCGTCAGTACTGGTTACTGGCGTACTGTTGATGCCTTTTCTTTTTACCATCGTTCGGTAGATACCCGAAAGATCTGTGTTCCCTAACGCCTGTTTCGTTCATAGGCTGGGGTTCGCTGTTGCTTAAGGAAGGGACCTATCCATCGGTGGGTATTTGGTCATAGGCATTTCTGGGTAATTTGAGTAAGTGGAATTTGTGGCGCATCCCGAAGGTTGTGACGCCACTAACTAATTTTGTGCGATTTTACAGTAAGAATGATTTTTTTAGTAGTGTTTGTTGTTGACACCAGTGTATCGACATTTTCACTAATACTTTGTTACCTTACCATCGTACAGTGGAAAATGACGCGACTACTAAGGCGTGAGGAGAGATGGAGACTTAATACTACGCCCAAATTCCAGAATCATGGGATCAAAGTCAAGACGCCCACGCATTGTCAACGCCGTATGGGCACGAACAACCGGATGCCTTGTGCAGCTAGATGGCATCGGCCCCACCTTCTTGTTGCTCCATTTCACAATCAGTCTCACTCCATAAGTTTATCAGTTCTATACGCATCCTAAACAGAACTGCAGTCACGACACGCTAGCATTCATGCCGCTGTTTCCGGTTACGAGCCAACGCGATAGTTTTGTGAACCACAACATGAATGGTGGGCGAGACAAACAGCACCCTTCTGACTAGTACATGACATCAAGCACGCAAAGCAAGACTCAACTCATTACTTGCCGTGTGGGCGCACAACGTTCATTTTACTTGTAGATCCGACGGCACGCCTTTAATCACCGTGATTAGACAGGGCCTTAACGTGGTGTGACGGTTAGCTTACCTCGACCGGTTGAGCTATGCTGTGTGGTGCCTTCGTGACCTTGAGACATACTCCTACCAGGTTGCTCAATGGTTAGGGGTCAGACAAACTCAGTCTCCTGGTCCTCCAGGTTGGGATGGCGTCCATTTCTGTACAATTGATTTGTTACCACATCCGCTGTCTTGCGGACACGATTTTGAGCCAAAGGCTTTGGTGGAGGACCCTAATCGTTCTCCCAGGCATCATCTCAGCCCACGTACAACCGTGACTTTTCCTTCACATTTCAACCATATCCTGCATCGGCCGTCGCGCAGATTATCAAGGATGGCCTTAACTGCTGCATACAGCAGGGCGGATTTGCGAAAACACTACTTCTGACGCCTCCCTTTTCTTGTCACCTATTTCTCTTACTCCTCTCCCAACCCTCATTACTAACCTCCCTTCTATAATTTCAATTTTAATTTACAGCCACCACAATGTCACTGGAGTCATACTATCTACGGCTATCTTCCCGCAACACCCATTTGGATACCTATCGTCGAGAGCTCCTTATAAGGTCACCCTGTTCCGTTTCCTTGGTGTCGTTAAACGTTCGCACTCTAAAATAAATAGGTCAACAGGCTGCACTCGCATGCACACACGTTGGACACCCTGAGTAGTGACGTGTGTTGTGTGTCCGAAAATAAGATCAATAACCCGTCTTATCCTCTCACTATTGATCGCCCGCATTTAGAGACGCTGATGCGGTGACTGGTGGTGGCTAGATCCTGACAGATGGTCTACCCACTGCTGCTACTGTTGCGCCATATTCTCATGTCCTGGGCGCCTCCTCGTGGCGACCGCTGGGTGGGAGTTGGGTTTCGCCCTTCTCCCTGCTAAGATCCAGGACACCAATCCGCATGAGTCAGCTAACTGACCATGTGCTAGACCCGCTGCCTTTCGGGTGTTCATTTGATCGAAGGCTTTGGCTGAGGACCCGAGTCGTTCTCCTGTCAGGATTGGGCGCCCTGGCAGTATCCTAGTCCATCCTCTCCGGAGGTTAGGAAGTGGTCGATGGCCCTCTTCCCGTAAAACCTAGCCATGGGAGACAACAGGTTTACGGGTGATATTCTCAAAGCTCGATTGGCGTAGAGCACGAGGGCCACGCATTGTCTCTGACGGTGGGAGGACACCTCCGGGTGTTCAATGGTTTGCTACTGCCCGCCTCAAGCCAGGCAGCCCCTGGTCAAATTGGTGCAAACCCGCCAAAAACCCACCTGCGTCTGGCCGTGGTCGCAGGTGCGTATCCAATTACGGTCGCAAAACATATGATAATTGTTCCAGAACCTCAAAGGCTGCGTGTGACGGCCGTCAAGCAGATCCCCATCTGTCACTGCAATCACATTCCCGAGCTGGATCTGCTCTCCACTGCCTTGTGGGTCAGGCTATTGAGCCAAAGGCTCCGGGTGGAGTCCCTCAAGCAAACCTCCGAAGCACAACGACCACCTCGCGTGCGATTGCCCCCCAATGCAATCGTATGCCTGCGCGCAAAGCACTCAGCATCGGGTGCTGGAACGTGCGCACACTACTGGACCGGAACTCCAGCGAGCGCCCGGAGCGACGCACTGCACTGGTCGCAATGGAGCTGGCGCGCTACCACATCGATATTGCGGCGCTCAGTGAAACTCGGCTCGCTGAGCAAGGTAAGTTACATGAAGCAGGTGCTGGCTACACATTCTACTGGGTGGGCAACGCCGCCTCAGCACCACGTGAACATGGGGTCGGATTTGCAATATCCGATCGCCTCCATGGCCAGCTGGTGGGTGAACCAACAGGCATCAGCGCGCGACTGATGACTGTTCGCCTGCGACTCGGAAGAGGTAAGTTTGCTACTTTTATAAGCACGTACGGTCCGACCATGTGTTATCCTGATGACACGCGTGATCAGTTCTACACTGAGCTATCCTCCGTGATACGGTCTGTGCCGAGGAGCGACCGACTATTTCTGCTGGGTGATTTCAACGCGCGCGTTGGGCGTGATGCATCAGCGTGGACAGACGTTATCGGTTCGCATGGCATTGGTTCAGCGAATGCGAACGGTGACAGGCTGCTCTCACTGTGTGCCACTCACGGCCTGACGATCACGAACACTCGGTTTGCACTGAGTGCGAGTGATATAGCAACTTGGACGCATCCACGGAGTGGTCACGCTCACCTGCTGGACTATGTCATCGTACGTCAGCGTGATATGCGTGAAGTGCGCATGACACGTGTACTGCGTGGAGCTGAGTGTGGCACTGATCACAAGTTGGTTCGGACCAAACTGTACATATATTTTCGTAAATCGATGTATTGCACTCCCGCCGTGAATCGGCGTAAATTTAACATTCTCTCCCTCGGTACTGTGGCGAAACATACTGAGCTGGAGAAGGCGATGGCTGCACACCTGTGTGATGTGGAATGCATAGCCACAGTGGGCGACCTGTGGCACCACATTCGCGACCAGGTGACAGCTGCTGCCGAGGAGACCATCGGGCGCGCAAACTGTAAGCGGCCTGATTGGTTTGATGAGAACAATGCGATGATTGGCGCATTGGTGTCGGAGAAGAATGCAGCATTTGCTGCACATGTGGCAGACCCCAGTGACTTGGGGAAGAAGAGTCAGTTTCGCAAACTTCGACGGCGACTGACCCGAGAGCTCCGTCGCATTAAAAATGCATGGTGGACGGAGAAGGCGAAGCAGATGGAATGCTGCGCCGAACGCCGCCAACACAAGGAATTCTTTGACTCCTTGAAGGCGGTGTATGGACCGAGATTGGAGCCGCTGAGGACACTGATCGATGGTAGTTCAGGCGCTACCTGCACCCAGACTGCAGACATAATGCAGATCTGGCGGAAACACTTTGACTGTCTCTTGAACAACCGTTCAGAGATCGACTGGCCTACATTGAACGGCCTGAAGCAGCACGATGTGAAGGCGGATCTGGCGGATACGCCGACACTGGATGAGACGCAGAGAGCACTTGCTCAGCTGCGAAACGGCAAATGTGCCGGAGGTGACGGGATCCCACCTGAAGTATTGAAACACGGTGGTCCCGCGTTGTTGACTGCGCTGCACCACTTGGTGCAACGTGTATGGATTGAGGAGGAGGTGCCTCCTGAGCTGAAGGATGCCCTTGTGCTACCACTGTACAAGGGTAAAGGTAGCAAGCAATGTTGCACGAATTATCGTGGCATCAACTTGCTGAGTTGTGTGGGCAAGGTGATTGCCCGAATCCTGCTCAATCGCCTCGTTAGTCAGGTTGTGGAACCTAACGTGGCGGAAGAGCAATGTGGATTCCGTTCGGGTCGCAGCACTATAGATATGGTGTTTGCGGCTCGTCAGTTGCAGGAGAAGTGCAGAGAACGACACCAGCCATTGTACTCGCTTTTTGTTGATTTCACCAAGGCATTTGATACGGTGAACCGCGAGGCATTGTGGCTGGTGTTGGGTAAGTTTGGTTGCCCGCGTAAGTTTGTAAGTTTAATTGAATGTCTGCACAGTGGTATGCGAGCGAGGGTGCAGCTGAGTGGAGAGACCTCGGATGACTTTGCAGTTGTCTCTGGTGTGAAGCAAGGCTGTGTCTTAGCTCCTGCCCTGTTTAATATATATCTTCATGCAATGTTGTCTTGTGCTTTTGATGCGGCTTGTGCTTACGGTGTTCGTGTGGAGCACCGTATTGATGGTGGGTTGCTGAACATCCGTCGTTTCGGTGCGAGAACTCTAGTCTGTGAGACAACTATCCGTATGTTGCTGTTTGCTGACGACTGTGTGTTGTTTTCACACAGCGCGGATGAGTTGCAGCACATGACTAGTGCTCTGGCTTCGACAGCGGTCAAATTCGGGCTCACCATCAACACAAGCAAAACTGTCTGTCTCTTTCAGCCTTCACCGGAGGTGCAATCTTCAATATTGCCGCGAATCAGCATTGGTGCTGAAGTATTGGAAACCACCTCCCGCTTCAGCTACCTTGGGAGTGTGATATCGACTGATCAACAGCTACACGTTGAGTTGCGTAATCGCGTGTCGAAGGCGGCAGCGGCATTCGGGAAGCTAGAGTACCGAGTGTGGAACAACCATCAGCTTACCATTGGCACGAAGCTGATGGTGTACAAATCCATGGTACTGTCCGTTCTTCTATACGGCAGTGAAACGTGGACGATGTACCGTCGGGATGTGCGATATCTCGAGCGGTTCCATCAGCAGTGTCTGCGACGAATTTTGCGGATCGGTTGGGGCGCCAGAGTTGCAGACACGGAAGTGTTGCGCCGAAGTGGGATGTATGCAGTGGACTGCATACTTTTACTGAGACACCTGAGATGGCTCGGTCATGTGAGCCGTATGGATTTGACGCGGATACCGAAACAACTTTTATACGGTCAGCTGAGTATAGGGAAGCGGCACGTGGGGAAACCAAAGTTACGTTACCAGGACATGATCAAAGTGAGCCTCACACGTTCTAATCTTGATTGCAGATCATGGGAATCGAAGGCGGTTGATCGTGGTTCATGGCGCGATCTAATCACGAAGGCAGTTGCTGAAGTGCGGGAGAAAGCCCTCATGCATGCAGAGAAGAAGCGGCAAGCACCAATGAATTGTACTCCATCGACATCGAGCGCATGGTGCTGTAGAACATGCGGTCGCGAGTGCCTTAGTCAGGCAGGCCTAGTGAGCCATGAGAGAGGTCACTCGGGACCACTGCCGAAGCGCCGACGGGTCCAGCAGTGAACGTAGGCAGCACCGGCGCAGCGTTTGTAGGCACGCTGAATTCGATTTACTAACCGCGTGCTTGCATGCTAAGTCTCTTTATTTCAGGTGGTGGGTTTGCGATTCTCTCCTAATGCCTTTCTTTCTCATATAAATGTCTAGTGGGCCATGAGCTAGGTCCTTTGGGGCCACTACAGAAGCGACGACGGGTCCTGCAGAGAATTACGGCGAGCCGGCGCAGCGTTTGTAGGCACGCTGAATTCGATTTACTAACCGCGTGCTTGCATGCTAAGTCTCTTTATTTCAGGTGGTGGGTTTACAGTTTGTGCCTTAATGCTTTTCTTTCTCATATAAATGTCTACCAGTACTCTATTCCATTAACTTGCACACCTCGCCTAAGCCAATTGTATTCGATTTCCGTAGCATATTTGTGTTCGTGGCATTCCGTGAACTATATTTCCTGACCTCGTGCACTTAGCTAGGATTTGTTTGTAAACAACTTATTACATATGCTATTTAATTAAGGTTTATATCACCGTTTCCTTATGCATTAATCGAGTTTTTCTCTTTTTCTTTCTCTCTCTCTCTCTCAAGTGTTTGGCTGTTGTTTGATATCCCCGGTGTGGATGCGCTTGATGTGCATGTTGACAAGGTGCCTACCTGTCTATTACCCACTACCTCGTCCATACTGGCTCCAGGAGACAGTTGCTCGTTGCTGGAGGGGACAGGGTGCACGGTCCTTGTGGCCGTGTTAGGATCAAAGAGTGGTTCCATGCACTCAGTGTGGAGCGGACTACGGTCCAGCCACCGCCTTGTGTGCGCTTGATTCCCAAATACAGTGTGCTTGTGTTTGCCTGTGAAGGAGTGTGGGCCGGCTCCGTTGATGAAACGTGGTTCCCATCCGCATGCCTCCCGGTCTTATTCCTTCGGGTTTACACTGGATATGGGGTGTGTGGTTGGAGCTGTGGGTGGTGCAGCGCAAGCCATCCATGGTCCCTCTGTAGGCGCAGGCGTCCTGTGGCTTGCCACAGTGACAGGCAAATCCGAAACCGGATGCCGCCAACCATGTATGTATTTCTTTCGTGTATTGCGGCACAATAGCTTAGGTGTTTTCCCTCCTCTAGCTGATGTGTATAATGATGATGATGATGCATAGCTTACAATCATGGATTTGCCTTCAGCCACTGCATACTGCATGTCTTCTGTTCGGACGCGATAATTCATGTTGATTATACCCAGGTGTCACAGAGAACCATGCAACTAATTAAGGTTCGGATTGCCAGACGAGCTGCAACAACAGGTACGTGAGAAAGTCTCGGCTCCGTGACTGAATTTACCGGGTCCGTTGTATAACATCGTAGTGAGACAGCGCAAGTTCAAGCCTCTAGCGCCCTGTTTTGTCGATTTAAATTTTTCTAGTTCACGCTATCGTACATCAAAACCACAGAACGTTGATCTGTGACCAGCTTGAAGTGATTACCGACTAGTAAGTGCCGCCATTTTCGCACTATCTCAACGATCGTGCAGACTTCTTTTTCTACCGAAAAATGGCGTTCCTCAATGGTGGAAGGTCTTCCGTCCTGGTTTAAGGTAACCGAGAGCTACATCAGAAGCATCTGTTACAGGCACTAAATATGCATGGGGGCTGCAGTGCTAAGTGCCGCAGTCTTCAGTGCTTCCTTTAAATCTTCATAGGACTTTTGGACAGATGGTGGCATGGGAAACTCCATGTTGTGGACGAGTAAGCTAATGTTATCAGAGAAGTGCGGTATCTATTGGAATTAGTAAACAAGCATACCTGTCACTCCTCATTGCGCCTTTATGTCGGTTGGAAGAGACATTTCTTGCAAAGGTGTCAATCGCTCAAAATTTCGTATCCCAGAAGTTTAACCAGCTTGGCCCCGAACACGCTTTTTTGTCTCATTAAAAGTGTAACCGTACTTTGAAGCGACTTTCAAAAAGCGATTTAAATCCTGTCTATGTTTAATAGGCTTTTTTTCGCCGATGGTGACATTTGCCTATGCTGGCAAATGTATCGGTCGAATTTTCGTCAACGATTATTTCATCAATGGTTCTTTGAGAGCGGGGAGAAGGGTATGCGATAGAAATGATAGAGTTTGCCACTGGCTTTAAAATTGCTGTACGCTCGTTCGCCAGGTTCGACGGTGATTTGATGGTAAGCTCTGTAAATCCAAAATACTGAAGGTTTAAAACATTTCGTCCAATTTGGACAGAGGACAGGCGTCGAGATGTGTAACTCGGTTTATCGTTTGGCTCTAGTCTACCACCATTCGTCGTTTGTGGCTTTCGTTGGTGGTGACTACCACCTTTGACTACCACCTTAGCTCTCTGCGATAAAAGGGATGACTCGATGCTGTTCTCCTTTAGGAGACGGCTTATTTCGGTGCGAATGAAAGCAGCGTCCTTGGGACTGTATCATTCAACATATCCATATCCTCGTGACAGTTGTGATTGTTGATTGAGGAATGAATGACTGCCTGGATGAGTTAGACAGGCAAGCTTTCCTGAAGTATCCCTTCTTCCTCCAACTTTTGCAAACTGCTTCCCAAGCAGAACATCTTGCCCATGAACCTTGAGTAAAACCGAACAAGTAACACTTTTTGTTGGACGTAACAGCAACGTATGATGATGGTGAAAGTGAGGGTTCGATAGTTTTGGGAGTTAACTCGAATCCGTTGAACACTGGGGTGCATGATGTCGAATTTACTGCGTTTTTTGTAAGACTGCGAGTATTTGTATGCGTCTCCCAGTGTCCTCGACAAATCGGATGCAGTTTGCAAATTTAACGTACCTTGTTGCGATAAGCGCTGATGTTTCTGCGGAGCCATGGTCCCCGTGATTGATGCGTCGCGAATGGCGCCATCATGGTTTTACTCTGCGCTGGCTGCCTTGAACGTAGTCCTTAGCAATAACTCTGCGGCCGTGAGCGAATTGCTCTAAATTGGATCCGTTTTCTTGTCTGCACCTAACTAAAATGTGGCGCACGAAAACTTCATTTTTGGGCTTATTATAAAGGCTCTTCAGTGCCTGTATATTTTCGTTAAGATTATTGCTCTCAGCATTGTTATTCGAGGACGGATGGGGCCATGTAGTTCAGCAGGATCTTCCATTTATCGGGATTGTTCATGAAAACACACTCCAAAAAGTGTGATAGGCATGCTACCGATGAATCCACTGTCTTGATGCATCCGGAACATTGGAGTCAGCGTCGATACGTTCCGGTGTGAGGAAAGGTTCCATAGACAAGTATGTTGTAGTATAACGGCGTAGTCAACGACAGACCAGGGGGAGAGGAATAAAGATATGAGCAATCTGGCTTTATTCGTCTGCGAATAGAGGCAAGAGCCAAAAGTGTAACGGATAATGGCATTAACCAACATGCAAATATTAATATACCACACTCAAATTAGCATTGATTCGCGTCCGTGTGACACATCACGAACAACGGTATTCTAAATCCCACTATTTTTCGAGAGACTGGTGATGTTACCCATATCTTAAGTCGACAGCTGCTGCCTGGGCTTTAACATCGCAACGACACTGGAACTTAGCGTGGTGCAATGGTTTGCTTACCGTCGTGACCTATTGAGCTATGCTGAGTGGCATTTTCCATGTGCCTTCAGGACTCTCATACCAGACTGGTCAATGGTTAGGGGTCAGACTAACTCAGTCTCACAATCCAATCCTCTTCGGAGGTTAGGGGGAGGTTGGTGGCCCTCTTTAGAACCTAGACATGCGGGACAACAGCTCTGCGGGTTATAAGCTCACAGCTCGATTGGCGTATGAACACGAGTGTCACGCATTGTCTCTGACAGTGGGAGGGAACCTTCTGGTGTATTTTTGGTTTGCTACCGCCGGCCTCAAGCCAAGCAGTCCCTGGTCAAATTGGTGCAAACCCGCCAACTCCCACCTGGGGCTGGCCGTGGTCGCGCGTGCGTAACATACTACGGTCGTAAAACATATGTGCATTGTTCCACATCTTCATAGACTGTGTGTGACAAGCCTCAGGTAGATCCCATTGGGTCTCTGCAATCACGCTCACCAGCTGGATTTGCTCCGCACTGCATTGTGGGTCAGGCCATTGAGCCAAAGGCTCCGGATGGAGTACCTCCAGCGAACCTCCAAATCCCCCACTGCCTTGTCGGTCAGACTGTTGAGTCAGAGGCTAGAGATAGGGCACCTTGGACAAAACCCCTCTCTCGGAATGGGCAGCGGAGGTATCCTCTGCCCTCTCGACCCTGTCGACAATACTCCCTCTTTTTCTCTCTCCCTCCCATCTCTTACCTGTCTATTGAGAAAGAGATTGTCTCCAACCTCGCATTTGCTGCCATGGATACATGTAGCTCTTTCATCAAAGTTTCCTTTCACACTGTTTCCTTTAACCTCCGCACTCTAGGTCAGATCATCCAGTAGGCAGCACTGACTCTTACTCTTCACTCTATTGGTATTGATGGGTGCTGTGTCCCCTAAACACGCATACAGGATAACAGCTTCGTGACAAACTTTCGATTCCCTGTTTCTGAATCTGACGACGATGACTACACTCTTCGCGTCTGACGATACCGAATCAATGGCTCAAAGTATTTGCGGTGTTACTATTGTCCTCAGTAAACATGCTGAAGGCAATCTGCTTCACTGGAGACCGGTGAACAGCCGCATGTGGGTGGTTCAACGTATAAGTGCAGTTCAGGGGATATCAAGAACGATTCTGTTGATCAATCTACCCTTTGGGACTAGCTACTGAGGAAAAGGGGACCGAGAAGTGTGTACATGTCGTAAAAGTGCTGTACTTTCTTTGGTTCGGGTCACGTGAGGGCTTGCGGCAAACTTTCGCCGTTTTTCATTATCTCCAGCGGTGTGAAACAAGGTTACTTGCTGTCAACTTTTCTCTTTAACTTCGCCGTTGACGAAGTCATGGAAACAGCCTTCGCGGGACACGACTTAGTAGGTGTGGAGTTGCCTCTTGGTGAATGACTTCTCGACTTGGAGTATGCCGACGACTGCGCTGATCTGTAACAGCTCCCAAACATACCAAGTTGCGCTGGTTAAATTAGTCCTGGCTGTCTGTCGTTTCGTGTTTTGCTTTGCACTATCGAAATGCAAAGTCCTCCAACTTTGGCAGTGGCCCGGTCCTGGGATGACCCTTGACGGTAATCAGCTAGAACTCGTCCAGACATTTGAATATCTGAGCAGCCATATTAGCACTCTTGGGACTTGCGTATCAACATTTGATGCCATTCAAGAACATGGTGGATAACTAGATCACGAGCTCCTTCATTTTTCCATTAGTATGGAACTGGTTCATTTCAAGCCAGTTCAGCTAAGTAACTATGATTCGGACATCGAACAACCCCGTAGTCACTGCCAGGACGCCAGCCTCCACATTTCTTTGGGTCTATTTGTAGTGGAGTGGACCAAGGGCTGCCTGAAGGGCAGGTTATTCCCTGTCGGTGTGACGAGACGGGTGGGCCGTTACTCCGGATATGGTACGTGACTCATGACGCCACAGGTAAAGCTGCGTTCATTTGGTGAACGAGCTTGGGATAATGAGAGGATTGGTTAGCATATTCGGTAGATGTCGGTGAGACAACGCAGACTAAGCTGATAACTGACATGCTGGCGTTAGTGCAACGGACGCTCAGCATTGTTACGAGGTCGACTATCCTCTGTTTCGCATCGACTAAGAGGTCGAAATGCCTGAAGAAGTCTATGTCGATGATAGCAAACAGAACGGCTGTAACAGTGAACACCCAGCGAAGTGCTCTGTGGAGACTGAAGTCAATGATTAAGGTGCGTTGGCCATAAGTATGAATAAATGTGCCGTTGGCGGCACGAAGGATGCGAGTTGCGGACTGAGCCGTCATCGCAGGTGCGGGAGGAACCACACTTACTTCCGCCCCGGTGTCAACCGGGAATGCCGTTCGCAATTTGCAGTGCTGAACGGTGAGCAGGTAGGTCACTCAGCTGTTCCCAATATCACTGACTTTCTCCATCTCACAGATCCATACAACACATTAGCGTTCCCCATCAGTTTGAAGTCACATTATCACTTGTTGTTTCGGGGCGTTACGGACACGCTGAAACTCAGTACTCAGCGTAAATTATTCCCGTGCTTCGATCAAACAGATTAATGCCTCAGAGATCCATTCACAGTCCGTACCTCTTAAGTTGGATGTAAATCAGGTGTCAGAAGCCTTCTTCCTGGCACACTTGCGGGGATTCCAGTCAGCGTTCGGCTCACTTAGTTCATTTATCACTGACAGTTGGTAGGCTAGTTCGTCATTATATTTTTCAACTGCAGACTGCAAATTCAAATTTGTAGTAAGAAGCTTAAATTTAAAACGCTTTGTTGAATTGTGAAATGCGAACATCAGGTGTGCACGCTTTAAAGCACTGTCTTAATCCAGGTACATACTCCTTACTGATATGCAGTTTTGATGGGACTTGTTCCATCTGATACTGATGACGATGTGGTCAATTTTGGTCCAGGTCATTGATGAATTCGGTGGGCACCAGGGAACATGATGTTAGTAGTGGTACTGATGTGCATTGCTCTTATTAAAAGGTTTCTACTCAGCTCATATTTGCAGAACTCGGTCGCCATTGTATGTTCGGCGTGCAACGGCCCCGGAGTGGCCTCCCAGGTATTCTTACTCTGAAAGGCGACCCACTCAGTACACGAAGGAAGTTACTTCAGATCGGCCATTTTCTATCATTCTGGAAGCGTTTTAGAACAGCCATTGAGAGTGTTACGGGTGTCACTAAAACATTAATCATTTCGCTATTGCCTCTTACTTCTTCACACACCAAACTTGGATTCTTCAGTCCTCGAATAAGTGTAGTCAACCAGAATTTCGCTCTCTTCCACTTCATCGGTTTTTCGACATGTCCTTTTGTTTATGGTTCTCTTGTTTTCCCATTTTGTTCAACTTCACTGTGTACTCCATCATGGTGCGTTCTCTTGCCGAATCCTATGATGCAGGTGTTGATATGCTACTCATTGAAAATCTTGTTGCTCTTGATAATGCGGATAACATTGTCCTTCTGTTATGATATAGTCACTCCTGAATAAGCGTTTTATAATGGTTCCGTCGTTTGGCATGCGCTTCACATCTTCAGAGTATAAAGTATGGTTGCAGGACAACCAGCTGCTTGATGAACCCCAGACCCATATTTGCTTGGAACTGTAGTTAATTGATCAGTTCATTTACATTGTCAATTGCATCTGCAATGATGAGCGGATAACCGCTGAACTAATCTCACTTATTGCAAAAGCCGGAACTTTCTTCTTGAATCTGAAATATCTATGATGTCAAAGAGGATTTCACTCGGTCTGAAAGATCGTGTTTATTAGGCAGTGTGAGAGCTGGCTTACTTTACCGGAATGAGACTTGGACATTCCAGCCTTAGAATCAGAGGCGCCTTCAAGTATTTGATCACTGCTGCCGGCGAAGCATTTCTGATGTCAGATCGCACCAGCATGTCCACAACGACTGCGTAGGCGTGCACTTGGCGTTGATAATCAGGCCAGCTGCTTAAAACAACTGAACAAGTTTGGGTGGCTTTGACCCGTACAACATACGTCCGGTCAGCGTTTACCGAGGAAGGCCTTGTTTAGTCTGCCAGATGTAGGGTGGCGCAAGGCTCGGGATGGGCCAAAGTTAACTTGGCAACGGAAATGAAGTCACTGGAGACCAAATTTGGTACTGTTACTCCGTCTCGCCTTCCAGACTGGAGTCTACATATCCCGCTTCGTGTTTGGCTCGAGACCTTGCAGGACTTGGCTCGTAGTCTGCACCAATAGTGCGTCTACTGTCGTCTAGTGACATTGCCTGTTTAAGATGTGTTTGATAATGAGTTATCTGCGGGTAATGGCTGATTATGACGCGGGACAGTGAAAGCCGCAGGGAAGCTGAGAAGATGTTGGGTTGTTATTGTCATATTTCAGTGTGATTGTGCTCATTATGAATTCTGATTCACTGTGTTCCCCGACTTTTGTGTGGAAGTTGCAGCGTTCAGCTTTGCCAATTGATATCTTGTCACTAGGAACCTCTACCTGCGGAACTTGCTCCATCTCGCCTCCGGTTTCTTTGGCCCGATACCGAATCATCGGCAGACAAAATTCGGCGAGCTGTGTCAATTGCTGAGGCGATTTTGAATGGAGATCCTGAACCTTCCCTTGAGCCAACCCATTATCGTTTGCTTGGTATGTAGTTCTCTGTGGTCTACCACCGATCAGTCTGTTACTGCATTTCCTTTTTGTCATCTGGTCTGTTCGTATTATGATTTTTCATGCGATTTCTATTTTGTTAACAACATGCTTTAACTTGCTGCTACCATTACCAAATCGCTAAGTGGGATTACGAGGTTTACTGTTATCATCCGATAGTCTGGCTTTTCAAGTTGTCTGCTAACCCAATGTGTGACAATGTCGTACTAACTTGTACTGGTTGACTTTTCGTGACTTCATTAAGCTTTGTAAGCCGTATATCGTCATTTTACCCACAACTGACGCTGTGCCTAACGGCCTCACTCGCTGAATGCTAGTTCACTCGCCTCTGTGTACCTGCGAAATGTTCCAACAAGTTGCACCAAAGCTTTTCTAGTCAACTCCGATGGGGATTTTCTCGATGCTCAGTTAAAAGCTTTGTTCAAGTTCCTTACTGTATGCACCGTGTATCCCGTTATTCGTGAGCGCTTTTTCATCCGAATTACTTCCAAAACGCTTAATTCAGCTAGTCATGGTTAACCAGATGTTTTGCTTGCGAAATCTGTCCTTACAACTGAATTGTCCACCAATTTTGCTGCTTCGTAAAACGGGCACGTGATTTCATTGTGCTCACTCACTTTTTCCTAATTGTTCCTGTCTGTTTCTTCAGTCGTGTCGCTTTTTATCGTGCTTCATAATTTTCTTACTTCTATTCGCTGCTCATAGCACCATGTCCATCATCCCTGTTGCTCTTAAATGTTCGCACCACTGTGGACTTGGTGAACTGGGCGTCACCTCACGAAAGGCAATACTGAAAACTGTGTTCGTTCGCACAAATTTTCATCTGAGGGCAGCTGCAGCATATCCGGCCAACATCTTAACGGTTTTCAGGATTCTTCATCTATTTTGTTGTACAACAGACTGTTCTGCCACTGTGTGACCAAATAGAGGAAGTTGCTGAACTCGCGTGTCGCTTTGGCTGAACTCATTAATACGTGTAATACTTATATTTCTCGTGATCCGAAAGATCACATTTTGCGGCACAGATCAGTATGTGCCAAAGTAGCCATGCTCTCGCTAGGCGTTAAGCATATGTGAAATATCTTGATGTGATATCCATGTAATAGCGTTGTTGTTTTAGACGGAAGTCGAGGTTTGGAATAGTTTATAGAGGGATCTTCATTTGAATATATTCATTAGTGTATTCAAGTCATGCTAAACTGCGAGCTTCTTACTAACTGTTACCACTTTTCCACTTGAATTGAGCGCGATTCGCAGTTTATTCCACAGATGGATTTATCTGACTAGGAAGCAATTTGAGCCATAGCTCGTTCTAGCTTTTGCTATCATCAGTGCATACTCTTTGTTGCGAAGCTCTCGAGTTGAGCTATGTTGCAGTTCGAGTGTAGGCAGATCGAAATAGTTTTTCTTGTGTGATAGGTTGTAACGCAACCACAAGTTATGTTTCAATCGTCGCATCCTAAGCGATTCGCGATGAAGTTTGTTGCAATGCTCTCGATAATTCATGAAATAGTGTGACCCATTCAGATATTCAATAAACGACCTCTTCTGGTTTTCCAAACCTATTATGTTGCTCTCTCATATCACCGTATAGTATTCTACAGTACTCAAGTATGGGGAGGGTAAGTAGCTTTAAAAGCTACACTCTCTCATTGGTTGTGTGAATTTCGTTGAATATATTACCCACAGGTTGTCTGGCATGTGTCATTTGGTATTGGGCCTGTTCGGAGAAGCAAACGGTCGGTATGTATCTACTTCCTAGATCGCATGTAGACAGCTCTATGGGGACATGTTCATTGTTCAGTGCGATAGATCTTCCGGGGATGGTACAGCCGTATGACGTGAGGCTTGATTTCTTAGCCGACAGTTCATCATCCACGTGTGACACCATGCCTGAAAGAAGTATACGTCATCTTGAATAAGCAGAAGCGTATCATGAAGTTCGTCACGCCGAGCCCTATAGACGATCTTGATATCGTCTAAGAATAAAAATGGCTGACCATGTTTTACGGATATGGTGATATCATTGATGTAGAACAGGAACAGAGAGGGACCGAGCACGCTCCCTCGATTGACCCTACTGGTGATGGGGCGTGGAGAACGACGATAGTCACCCAAACTGACTGCCTGGTTACGATCACTCAGGTATAATGATAGTAATGGGTCCCAGATCCCAAAGACCCCCAACTTTTATATCAACCGCTTGTGAGGCAACCGGTCAAATGCTTGGTGTATGTCCAGAAATAGAATTACTACTGCGTAGCCGGAATCGACAGATTCTCGGTTGTAGTCCGGAAAATGCGATTGACAGTTGGTGCCCGATCCCTTGTCAGGAAAACCATGCTGCGAATTATTTATCAGGGCCAAGTAATTGTCTAATTTAATCGCGCACGTTTTCACCAGTCTTCCAAATAGCCTAGCAATTACAGGAGTGTGATGCGTAGGTCCCTGGTTCCCATACTTTTGTTTGGGGCTCCCTGTGCTGAGGCATGACAGACGACGTCTTTTATTAATGCGAAAAGTGGCTAGATTCCAATGCTAGAGTAAACATGTTCACCAAGTTCTGTGCCAACTCTGACCCCTTAGTTTAATGCCGGGTGGTGGAATACTTTCGGAATACTGGTAGCTCGAGTTTATGGTTCAATTGGTCATTTGTTCTCCGAACAACCTCATCGTGGTGCCAGTTGGGTGGTTCGGGATTTTCCCGTTCCAGCAAATGGTTCGGCGGCAGTGTTCCAGGACGTGGTGGGTTTTCGCCTGGCAAGCGTTCTCCCTATAAAAAGCCACATATGTCCGTTTAACAACACTGTGACGTGGCGGACGTGACTCGCCACTAAATAAAGTCACTGCCCCTTGCTTCATCCTGGCGAAGCATTGTATTCCAGCAACGTTATGCTGTAGTTCTGGGGAGCATTGGGCCCCTGTTTGACAAAGGAACAAACGAAAAGCGTATGAACTGAGCAATCAGTCACCGGCTCCCAGTGGGTGTGATTCCCTGAATTCGCTCCGCTGCCTTGCGGACAGGCTATTCAGCCAAAGACACGGTGTGGTGTCCCCTAAGTCAACACCCTACTTCGGCTTGGGCACCCGGGTGGTATCTCGTCTTTACTGTTTCTGTACCTTCGTTTGAATCCCATGGTTTCTGATGGCATTATGTCTATTCGTAGACCTTTGCATATATATATATATATATATATATATATATATATATATATATATATATATATATATATATATATGATTGGCGGCATCCGGTTTCGGATTCGCCTGTCACTGTGGCAAGCCACAGGACGCCTGCGCCTACAGAGGGACCACGGATGGCTTGCGCTGCACCACCCACAGCTCCAACCACATACCCCATATCCAGTGTAAACCCGAAGGAATAAGACCGGGAGGCATGCGGATGGGAACCACGTTTCATCAACGGAGCCGGCCCACACTCCTTCACAGGCAAACACAAGCACGCTGTATTTGGGGAATCAACCGCACACAAGGCGGTGGCTGGACCGTAGTCCGCTCCACACTGAGTGCATGGAACCGCTCTTTGAGCCTAGCACGGCCACAAGAACCGTGCACCCCGTCCCCTCCAGCAACGACCAACTGTCTCCTGGAGCCAGTATGAACGATGTAGTGGGTAATAGACAGGTAGGCACCTTGTCAACATACACATCAAGCGAAACCATACCAGGGATATCAAACAACAGCCGTTCACTTTAAACGACAAGCTGAAATAAAATAAATCCAATAATGCATACAGATACGGTGGCATAACTCTTCGCTAAATTACCATATGAAGTAAGTTGGTTAGCAACAAATCCGTGATAAGTAAGAAATGTCCACAAGTTACTTAAAATGCTGCAAACGCAACAAAATTACCGAAGATAAGCGCAATTAGTGTAAGCAACGTGGCCAGTTAATAGAACATTATTCAGGGAGGCAGAACAAACCAAATAAAGCGGAATGAAATTTAGCCAGCTTAAAAAGACCTAGTTTATATATATATATATATATATATATATATATATATATATATATATATATATATATATATATATTGTTCTCCTATATTGGCGCTTTTGTTGCAAACCTTTCACCACCATGCGAGATGATATCCTCAGTGCAGTGAGATGCAAAAGATCAAGGACCTACGAATAGATAATGATGAAGCAATGATATCATACGACGTGACCGCACTCTTCGGCTCTGTTAACTTGAAGCTAGCGATAGCGGTCATCACAGAACGGCTGGACGACAGTAAACAGCAAATCGGAAAATGGCGACCGAAAATATATGCATACTGCTCCACTTGTGTCTGTCGATCTACTTCTCATTTAATGGAAATATTTATAAGCAATTGAAAGGCGCACCAATGGGATCATCTGTGCCAGGACTCATCGCAGAGATGGTTCTGCAGAAATTGGAGGAGGATGTACCACCACTCATCAGTCCGAAACTGTGGGTTCGGTATGTGGACAACACTTTTAAGATAATCAGGCACAAACAAATAACAGTCACACAACAGCTATTGCATGACGCCATGGAAGGCATCCAATTTACAATAGAACCGGAGAAGGAAAGGCAGCTCCTTTTTTGGATGTATTAGTAACAAGAACCATAGAAGGCGAGCTGCAAACATCGGCCTACAGGAAGGCACACACACAGACCAAATTCTGAACATTAAGAGCACAAGGACATTATGGGGCTGCAATAAGAAGAAAGACTAATAATGTGCATCAGATGCAAAAAGATATATGGGCCATATGGGAGCACTGCAACCGTGATCACACTAACTGTGGAGCAAGAAGCAGCCAGCTGGAGACTGTGACAGGAATGCTCCCTTTCCTTATGTGTGCATGGCTATCAGGCCTGTTTTTGAAACTCTTGCCAGTGAGACATTACTGTCAAAGTGTGCCCATGGAGGAACACAAAATACAAATGTAAGTTTTCACAATTTGCGTTGGCAAAGGTGTTCAAAGGCTGGTTT